GAGCCGGGGGAGAGCTGTGCCCCCCCCCTGCCGCGGGGTGGCTGCTCGGGGCTGGCAGCAGCTGGCAGCGGCGCCCGCAGAACCACAGGATCGTTTAGGTTGGAAAAGACCTTGAAGGTCGTCAAGTCCAACCGCTAACCTAGCACTGCCATTCCACCACTAAACCAGGTCCCACCACATCTACACTTCTTTTAAATACTCCTCCCTTCCTCCTGCCCTCGCCTCGCCGCGGGGGATGAGGGAAGGGTGATGCGTGGGAAGACCTCTCCCATGGCTTTGCAGAGCTGAAAAGCTGGGGACAGCCCCAGTGCAGGCTCCTGCAAGCGACTCAGCCCAGACCCCAGGCCCGACGGCTGCGCACTCCATACCCTGCCGCCTCCCCTGGCTGCACCCGGGCGCTGGGGTGCACAGGGGCACAGCAGGGCCCCCATCCCCACGCTGGCCTGCGGCAGGGGCGAGCAATTGGCGGGGAACAGCCCAAAAAATGCTGCCTTGTAAAGGACGGAGAGGCTGCCCCCCACAGCCGTGTCCCACCCGGCGACGGCGCGGCCGGCCGGCCTGCGGCAGCGCGGCACAAGGCACACGCTTGGCTTTAAATGCTTCCCCCCGCTTCCACGCGCCGGCTTGGGGCTTTATCGAACTTTCCCATTCCAGCTGAATTTGCTGGTTCTGGCGCTGTTGCTTGGCTACGGGCTTGGCAAACAGAGGCAATTCCTGCTCCCGGGCACGGTTTGGCCGTGTCCCCCGGTGGGAAAGGCTGCGTTAGCTCCCGGGGAGAGGGCAGGTCACCACGGGAGGTACGGGAGCTCCACCCCGGGCACTAAACACAGCACCACACGCTCAGTATGCAGGGTATCCTTACCTTGTTGTTAACATCGCACGCCTCAAAAGCCAGAGTAGCGTTTTCCACAGTGATGCACCTTGCCAGGGCTACGTTAACAATCTAGGAAACGGCACCAAAATGCAAATTTAGACATAAATTCCCAAGAAAGAGGAGAGGCTGTTACACTGCAGTTAAGCTGCTGGGTTGGCAGGATGCTGGTTAACGCTGCCCACTTAACCGCGCGAAGCAGAGGTGCGTCATGGTCCCTGGAGGGGTGTGTGAGCACACATGTGGCCACTACGTATGTTTTTTCTACTGCGAGAAGCTTGAAACTTGCCCTTTCCAGAAATGTTCAAGGCTAGATGAGACATGTTCTTTTTTTGGGTTTTTTTTGGACACAGCTAATGTTCCTGTTCTGCAAATCCCCAAAACAACAGCTCCCAACAACAACAGCAGCAGCAGAATCCCTCCCTGTTGCCACCCCGTGAAGGAGGTGAGCAGCCACAGCTGACGCAAGTGCCTGGTGGTCCCATCCTGGCCCTGGCCGGTCCCCTCCCCGCTGGGGCACGGGGCCCTGGGCTGCGGCAGCCCGCCACGACCCCAGGAAACGGCTCCAGCCCTATAGGTGATGCGCTGGGTGCCTCACCCCGAGGCAACTCATCCCGCTTTCCATCCAGGTTGGTGGTCTGGGTACCTGCCATCAGCGGGGAGACGCAGACGTGGTCCCCAAAGCGGGAACCCCGGCAGGGACAGCATCTCGAAGCCATTTTTAACCGAACTGCCCCTGCCTCACACCGGTGGGGAGAAAGCGAGGAGGGGCGAGCGCCGCACCCCGACGTTTCTCTGAGCGCGTGTTCAGCCCCCAGCTCGCTGCCAGGGAGCTCTGGGCT